GCACGTGGGCTTTCACTTTATCACTAAAATTCGCGTTTGTTGTGTTTGTTGTTGTTATGAAAACGTCAAAAAAAAAAATCATAATTAAAATTTTTTTTTTTTTTTTTCGAATAAATTTAAAAATATTTAAAAACTTTCGTAACGATTAACGATTCCTAAAAAAAAAAAAATAGTTATGAATCGTACGAACGAGTAATTAATTACTCTCGTTACAACATCGACGCCATTTTGTTTTTTCCATCTCATTTCGCCATATATCGATTGATAAATATATAAATGAGATGATTTGAAATTTTAACCTTTTTTTTTTTTTTATTTATAAATCATCGATTGATTGATTGATTGTGTGTGTGTGGGATTAAATAATAATAAAAAAGAAGGCGGTGTGTGGGGGGAGGGAAGGAGTGAGGGGAGGTGAAAAATCATCGGATAAAATTATTACATAAAAAAATTTTTTTTCCTACGACCTTTTTTTTCGTACGATTCAAATCGAAAAGTATCAAAGGTCCAAAGTAAGTCATGATCTTTATATTTAAAAAAAATTTTTTTTTTTTTTCAAATAACTAATAAAACAAGACAAACTTGTTTAGATACGTAGCAACATAAAACCGTAACCGATACCTAATTTTTTTTTAAAACATTAACAACAACAACACAAAACATTACAAACCAAAGTTTATGTATGTTTTTAAATTTCGATTCGATCGGTTTCATAAAAAAAAAAAAAACATATTTGTTAATGTTATGGTATTATTATTATTATTATTATTATTATTATTACTATTAAAGTCGTAAAAATACACAAAGTGACCGATAGTGAGAGAGAAAAATTGTTTTTATTGTTTTTTTTTTAAAACCATAATAATGGTGACAATTATGAAAACAAATTTTTTTCTTAACGGTTATGAAAGTAAGAAAATTTAGCACATGGAAAATTTCGTTTTTTTTTTTTTTTGCTAATTTTCTTACTTTTCCTGTTAAATTGTAGCGGAATTTTTTTTTTTTTTATGTTTTATTAAAACGTATATGAAATCTATACGAGACGGAAATACTTGTGCCACTTTTATTTATTAATAACTCTCTTAGTATGTTTACAGTAAAAAAAAAAAAAAAAAACTTTCTCGTTTGTTTAAAAAAAACATGGCTTTTCTTTCTTTCTTTCGTTT